TAGTCTGTGCCTCCAAAGATGAAAGGATTAAGCACGAGTCTCTCAACTTGGTTCAGGAAGGAAAAAGGAAAACCTGAGGGCTCTAGAATGATGTCACTTCCTTGAAAAGTTCCAGGGCAAGCCCCCAACCGAGGCCATCTCCTTTGTCCCTGTCCCTCTTCCCAAGATGTCACTGAGGGCTCGCCTGCCTACCAGCCTTTCGACCTTCCCAGCCCATGACTCTTCTTCCTGCAGGGAGTTAGTTGCTGGAATGTCTGGAGCCACCTGAATGTGTGGGGCAGACACATCAGCCTGCTGTGGGACACGACAGTAGCAAGTCCTCATTGGCTGTCTGCAGGCAAGAAAATTCCTAAGGATCCAATCTGACTTCACATCTTCCGTGTGATCCGTAGGAAGGAAAAGCAGCTGCAGACTTGGAATGGAGCCCAGGGCAGGAGGAGGCAGAATTGTTTTGTCACTTATTGCCCCTGGGGCCATACCTGTGCCTTGAGGCTTTTCTTCCTGGATTGCAAAATTTGAAGAAGGATAAAGATTTGGAGAGTTCTGAACTCAGTCCTTCTACTTCCAGCTGGGTGACATCACCTCTCGGAACACCCATTGGCCAATTTGTAAGTTGGAGGATGTATTGCCCACTGGACAGGTTGGGTGACTCAGGCCTTGTACTAGCTCAGTGCCTCCAGCGTAGCAAGAATGCCATTAATAATAATAATAACAACAACAGTCTGGGTGTGCCTTTAACCCAGTACTGGGGAGGTGAGTTCAGATCACCTTAGTTTATATTATTAATTCTAGGCCAGCCAGGATTAGATAGTAAGACCCTGCCTCCAAATAGTAGTAGTAGTAATAATATCTTTCAAATTTGAGGATATGTTTTAGAGTTAGCATTAAGGGTTTGTTTTGGGGTTGTTATTTTTCCTCCCTCCCTCCCTTCCTCTCTTGGAGACAGGGACTCATGTAACCTAAGCTGACCTCAAACTTGCAATATAACTGAGGCTGGCCTAATCTTCCTACCTCCACCTGCAAACCACTGGGAATATGGGCTGCTTTTTGTTGTTGTTGTTGTTTTGAGGCAGGGTCTCACTATGTAGCCCTGGCTGACTTGGGACTCAGTACGTAAGCCAGGCACACATGTCACAACACCCATAAAACCAGGTGCAGTGGCTCCTACTTTGAGATGGGAGATAAAAAGAGGCAAATCCTCTGAAGCTTGTGAGCAAGCTAGTCTGCCTTATGCAAAAATGACTAACAAAGAGAGAAGGTGTCTCAGAAACAAGGTGGAAACTGAAGACTGACAACTGAGGTTGTCTTCAGACCCTCACACACACCGTGGCACAGGTATGCTTGAATTCTGCACAGATGTGTATATACACGGATACACATCATACATATGCACACACACGCGCAAGTGAGCACACACACACACACACACGCACGCATGCACGCACGCGCGCCAAGCTAGGCGTGGTGGCACACACCCGTAATTCCAATGCTTAGGAGGTGGAGGTATGAAGATCTGGAGGTCAGAGTATCCTATACAGTGAGACCCTGACTCACAACAAAAGCAAAGACAAATCAGGAAAAAGAAAGGAGATAGGATTCCCTTGAGGCTGAGTATCCCAACACTACTTGGCTTCACTGCTCCCCATGCCATAGCATTTAAGTCTGTCTGTGGGGTCCCATGCCCATGGGCTTCTGCTGGGATTATGCCAGAGATGAGATTGTGTTGATGGTCCTTAGCTTTGCCTAACCCTCATCATCCATGCAGAGGTCCAAAGACCTCCCAAAACCAACCATTTGCTCAACATCTCAAATGCTTAAGCCCAGAGTCCAGAAGCACATGGAGGAGACATGAAAATGGTTTTCATGGTTTGTGTGTGGGAGTGGGGATGTGTGAGGTCAGAGCATGCTGGGACATGCTTGTTATCCCTGTACTCAGGAGGCAGAGACAGGATGGTTTCAGATTCCAGTACATCCCAGGCAACATAGCAAGACCTTGTCTTAAAGATAACAGCGGGGGAGGGTCAGACCTGAGTCCTTCCCAAGCATCGTACAAACGGGATATAGAGGCGCAGGCCTGTAATCCCAGCACTCTGGAGGGGGAGGCAGAAGGATCAGAAGTTCAAGGTCATCCTCAGCTGTATAATGAATTCAAGGCCAACCTCAGATACATGAGACTTTGTCTCGAAAAATAAGGGAACTGGAGAGATGGCTTAGCCTTTGAGAGTACTTGCTGTTCTTATAGAGGCCCTGAGTTTGTTTTCTAGTACTCACATGTTGGCTTACATCTGCCTTTAACTCCAGTTTCATGGGATCTGATGCTGTCTCTGGTCTCTGAGGGCACTGCATACACACACACACACTCAAATAAATAAATAAAAAATAAACCTTGAAATCAAATCAACTAACCCACGGGGTCAAACATCCTGTTTCCATTCATAAAGTTGAATTCTTTCTCTGGAGATGAATTTCTATCATGAAAAATGTTCAAGGATTTAAAATTTAGCAGTTAACTTAAAAAAAAAAAAAAAGCAAATATTTAGGCCCGGTTTTAATCCCAGCATTTGGGAGGCAGAGGCAGGAGGATCTCTGTGAGTTTGAGGCCAGCCTAGTCTACAGAGCAAGTTCCAGGACAGCCTCCAAAGCCACAGAGAAACTCTGTCTTGAAAAGAAAAAGAAAAAGAAAAGCAAACATTTAAATCATTTATTGCCATCAAGTTGCAGATCTGCATCTACACAACATGGAAATTACTGTTTCTTGTTACTAGTGGAAATTATGTGTAAATATGCAAACTGAAGGATATACTATAGCCATTAAAAAAGAGTCAAGAATTTTGAGTTCATAAGTGCTTATAGTTATAAAATCTTGTTCTCTTACATTTTTATTATACAAATCCCAATAGATAACATACACATTACTATACATTACTACAGGTAAAATCATCATTCACGATTATTAAGTTAGTTGTATATTTTGAACTACTTGATGCAGACAAATTAATTTTAACATTAATAAGGCAGCAGAGAGTTGGTCTAGGGACTCTCACCTATTCTATAATGTTGGCATGGTTATTAAAGATAGCATTCTGTGTTTTCCCCTCAGCAAAACGATTTATGCTGATGTGATCGGTGGCTCACAGCAGTGTCTGTCTTCCTTCCTTCCTTCCTTCCCTCCTTCCTTCCTTTCTTTTTTTTTTAATTATATTTATCATCATTATTACATTTTATTTTTTATATGTTTATTAATTTTGTATACAGTATTCTGTCTGCATGTATCCCTGCAGGTTAGAAGAGGGTACCAGATTTCATTACGGATGGTTGTAGGCCATCATGTGGGTTGCTGGGAATTGAACTCAAGACCTCTGGAAGAACAGCCAGTGCTCTTAACCTCTGAGCCATCTCTCCAGCCCCCTTCCTTTCTTTTTTTTTCTCCTTTTTTTAATATTTTGAAACAGGGTTTCTCTGTGTAGAGCCAGCTGTCCTGGAACTTGCTCTGTAGACCTAGCTGGCCTCGAACTCACAGAAATCCACCTGCTTCCGCCTCCTGAGTGCTGGGACTAAAGGCGTGAGCCACCACCGCCCAGCAGGCCCTGTCTCATTCAAGAGCTGATCCTCACACTCATAGCTAATAAGGCTCCCCCTGAAGGAGCTGATCTACTTCATTTGTTACAGGGCATGCAAACAGAAGCTAGATTCCAGGCTGTACCTTGTAGGCAAATCTCATGAATGTCAAAGAATAGCAACAGAGGGTTAAAGTCATCCACCCACTGATAATCCCTGGAGGCTTCTTCATGTCATTGACAATAGCAATGGGGAGACCACCTGAGCTCCAGAAGTGTGTACTCATGAGATAGTCCTGGAAGTCCTTGCTCTAGACGTAGCCTGCCACTTTCCACTCCACTGTTCCAGCCATGGCCATGCAGTTCTCAGTGAAGCCGCTATTCAGACAGATGACACTAACTTCCACCCACTGCGGTCCTCAGTGCTCTCACCTTGTGCCCGCCTCACCACACCCAGATACCAGTAGTTAACTTTTCTTACTTCATAAGAAATGTTTTGTTGCTGGGCAGTAGTGACACATGCCTTTAATCCTAGCACTCGGAAAGCAGAGGTAGGTGGATCTCTGTGAGTTCAAGGCCAGCCTGGTCTACAAGAGCAAGTTCCAAGCCGGGCGTTGGTGGCACACGCCTTTAATCCCAGTACTCGGGAGGCAGAGGCAGGTGAATCTCTGTGAGTTCGAGGCCAGCCTGGTCTACCGAGCGAGTTCCAAGACAGCCTCCAAAACAATACAGAGAAACCCTGTCTCGAAAAACCAAAAAAAAAAAAAAAAAAGAAAGAAAAGAACAAGTTCCAGGATAGCCTCCAAAGCCACAGAGCTGTCTCGAAAATCAAAAAACAAAAAAAAAAGGTCAGTCAGGAACCAGGTATGATGGTGGGTGTCTGTAATCCTACAATTTTAAAAAGTAGAGACAAGGAATCAGGAGTTCAAAGTCACCCTAGACAACAGAGTGAATTTAAAACTTACTTGGGCTACATGAGACCATGTCCCAAAAAAAGCACCACCATCCCCTTTCTCCCTCCCCTCCCCCACAAAGTCATTTGTGCTGACTCTAGGAGATTTGGAAAGTCAGATGAATGGAAGTCAGTCACCCTCTACCCCCAGACAAAGCGGTGACAATATGGTGTTCTCTCTTTCCCCCAGGCCTAGTTTGGTTTTGTTTAGCTTTCATTGCTGCATAAACAGAGTGACGTTTTCTGATTCACTTTACAGCGCTGACTTCATGTGCTTGTGATACTTCCAACAGCTAGGACACTCTGTCCCCCCTGGGAATTGTGTGGGTGGGGCACACCACCGCTGCCGCGTTCCTCACTTTGAGAAAGTTAGGTTCACAGCACCAGGGACAGCATAAAGCAGCATCCTTTTCATCCTACCGTTTCGGAGTCCTCCTTCTAGAATTTAATCCTGCTTTTCTTTTCCTTTTTCTTTCTTTCTCAAACCTCAGGGCTTCTGAACGTGTCTCCATCTCCGTGAACCAGCAGTGACCCGTCCGTCGGTTTTGTCTTCTCCTAGCTCATGCATTCTTTGAGTCTTGGTAACAGGAATGTTTTGTCTGGTCAGACTCAGAAGCCGTCAGCAGGATAGAACCAGCACTGAGGACTCATGACTCTGTCGGGAGGAGCCTGGGAAAATGGAGCTGTTGTTGGTACACCTCTGAATCAACTGCAGCTTCTGGTGTCCAGCTTTAAAAGCTCTCTGGAAGTGACAAGATATCCATAATCTTCTATAAGTATGAACGAACAAATGTTTTTGTTAAATACATCAAGGTCGTACGTTTTGAAAAGAGCTAGAGTGCCAATGGCAAGAAGAACCCCAGCACTCTGCCCATCCTCCTGTTGAGACCCTGGTAATTGTCTAACAAATCCATCATGTGTCCCCTGAGATGGTGTGTCTGCCGGGAAAGGATCCAGAACCCCAAGATGCCTAGGGGTTCGTCTTCTTCCAGAAGCAGCTAGTGGTGGTCTTCGGTGTTCTTTCCTGGCCACGCCTTAAGGTCTTTTTGCTGTGCTGGGTTCTGATGTGTGGCCTCCACAACTCTGCAGCCGAAGGATGACCTTGCTCTTTGGGTGGGACAACAGTGAAGGAGGGAGACCTGTGTGTATAAGTCTGTGGAAAGAGAGAAACACTGAGCATGTCTCTGCCAAACCAGTCCATAGAAGGCCTTTCCCAGGAGGCCTCCAACAGATCCCTGAATACTACAGGGGCTTGGGACCCACAGATCCTGCAGGCACTCAAAATCTCCCTTGTAGTGGTCCTTTCCATCATCACACTGGCCACTGTCCTCTCCAATGCCTTTGTACTTACCACCATCTTACTCACCAAGAAGCTCCACACTCCGGCCAATTATCTCATTGGCTCCTTGGCCACCACCGACCTCCTGGTTTCTATCTTGGTTATGCCCATCAGCATAGCCTATACCACTACCCGCACCTGGAACTTTGGCCAAATCCTGTGTGACATTTGGGTGTCTTCTGACATCACGTGCTGCACGGCCTCCATCCTGCATCTCTGTGTCATTGCTCTGGACAGGTACTGGGCCATCACTGATGCCCTGGAGTACAGCAAACGCAGGACAGCCGGACATGCAGCAGCCATGATTGCGGCAGTCTGGGCCATCTCCATCTGTATCTCCATCCCACCACTCTTCTGGCGGCAAGCCACAGCTCATGAGGAGATGTCTGACTGCCTGGTGAACACCTCTCAGATCTCTTACACCATCTACTCCACTTGCGGGGCCTTCTACATCCCGTCCATCCTGCTCATTATCCTGTATGGCCGGATATATGTGGCTGCCCGGAGTCGCATCCTGAACCCACCATCCCTCTATGGGAAGCGCTTCACCACGGCGCAGCTCATCACAGGCTCTGCGGGCTCTTCACTCTGCTCCCTCGACCCCAGCCTCCATGACAGCCACTCACACACAGTGGGCTCCCCTCTCTTTTTCAACCAAGTGAAAATCAAGCTTGCAGATAGCATCCTAGAACGCAAGAGGATCTCTGCAGCTCGAGAAAGGAAAGCCACTAAGACCTTGGGCATCATTCTGGGGGCCTTTATCATCTGCTGGCTGCCTTTCTTTGTGGTATCCCTGGTTCTCCCCATCTGCAGGGACTCCTGTTGGATCCACCCGGCCCTCTTTGACTTCTTCACTTGGCTAGGTTATTTAAACTCCCTCATCAATCCCGTCATCTACACTGTGTTCAACGAAGACTTTCGACAAGCATTTCAAAAAGTTGTCCATTTCCGGAAGGCTTCCTAGTCGGATTTGGGGGTGACTCTTGCTCATCTGTTTTGTCCTGTAACCTGACTAGAGTTGCCTTTTAAAGTTATTGTTGTTTCTCTGAGACTTGGGTTGATGTGTGCTGTCTTGGGTTTTGGATTAATCAATAGACTTGTTCTGTACGGATACTGCCAGCATCTTCTAGACTTATGAGTCACCTAAAGCTAGGCCATTGTGTCAAAGGGGACAGAACTGAAGATGTCCCTTAGCATAATATTCTCATGGTTCTCTGGATTGGAAGAAATATAAGCTACAGGACTAAGGTGAGGAACTGTTTATTCTCTAGCAGGCTCAGAGGGAAGGCCTTCTGGGATTTTGTGTGGGGCTGTGGAGAGTGGGTGTGATTAATGAATTAGAGAGAGTTTGGAATTAGAATGGAGGGGTTGCCATCTCCTATAGATCATTGATTAGGAAATAACACCAAATTTTTTCCACTGGGTCCTGGTTGTCCATAAGGAAAATGGTACCAGAGACATGGAAAGAAATTCAGAAGGTGGCACCAGGGGAGAGGGATACTTGTGTCTAGACCAACTACCCTGCATCCTTTATTCTTCCCTCTCTTTCTATTATATAATGTTCAGAAGTTCAAACCCAACACTATGCCACTCATGAAGACTGACAAATGTTGAACCCACCAAGCTTTGAGTGGGTCACCCTGTTCTGCCTGTTTCCGATTTTTTTCCTGAATTATTTTTTTACAACTCGTTGTCATCAAAGTTCCTAAGATGTTGAGTCCTATAAAATAAAAAGCATGAGACATAGTGAGCAATGATGTCTTTACAGAATTGTTTATTTACCTACTGTTTTGTGTATGTGTGTATGTGATATGTGCGTAAAGGTACGGCATGCCTCAGTACATGTGAGGAAGTCCCAGGGCCTCCTCAGGTGCCAGTCCTTGCCTTATACCTTGTTTGAGGCTGGGTGTCCTTTGTTTTCACCTCTGCCTTGCATCTTCCTAGCTAGCTAGCTCACAAGCTCCGGGATGTTCTCCTGTCTCCACCTCCGATCTCATCATGACAGGAGTGTTACGATTACAGTCGAGCACCACTGCATCTGCCTTGTTACACAGGATCCTGGGATGGAACTTGAGTTGTCATACTTGGACAGAAAACACTCTGATACACCGCCCCAGCCTTTCAGGAATAGTAAAATCTTTGCCTGTTTCTTTGTTCCCCTTCTGCCCAGATGTCTAGACTTTCAACTTAACTCAGTTTACAACATCCGCCGAGCACCCACCGAGCACTGGGCCCTGTGCCCAACATCTTAGCATTTGTTGTAACAGTGAGCCTCATGACTGTGGATGCCTGTGTAAAGTGACAATTAAAAATGGAGAAACTGGAAAGATGGTTCAGCGGGTAAAGATACTTACCACCAAGCCTGGTGAGCTGAGTTTGCTTCCAAGAACCACATGGTAGACAGAACCATCTCCCACTAGCTGTTCTCTGATTTCCGCACATGCACACATGTGAGCACTCATGCTAACACACTGTGAGCATACATGCAAGCACTCATGCTAACACACACGTGAGCACACAAACAAGCATGCATGCAAGCACACATGGGAGTGTACATGCACACACTTAAATAGTCACAAAAAGTAAATTACAAAAATGTTAGGAAAAAAAAAGCAAAAACCCTCAAGACCTAGGGCTGAGGTCTCGGAACACAACTCTATGATAGAGTCCTTGTTTGCTCCAGTTCTTAGGTTTGGATCCCAGCCCTAAACAAAAGCAAACAGCAAAGTGAGAGGAGCTGAGAAACTGATGCTTCAGCTCAAACCCAAGTGCTGTCAGCTCCTAGCTGTGTGCACTTTTCAATCCTTCCACATCTCGATTTCCTCTAGTGTCATACGTCAGCATGGCCCTTAAATAGAAAGGGCCTGCCATTCTGGAGATCCAGAAATTGGCCTACTCAAGCACAGGCAGCAATGTAATAGTAATAATAATAATAACAGCAATAGTAATAGTAATAATAATAGTCAGAATAATAGTCCCACTAAAGTACCCTCATGTGCTCAGTGTTTCCTTTCTCACTTTCTCTTCCTCCTCGTCTTGCACGGGCAGGGAAGAAATATACCTGTGGTTTGAAGAAGGCTTCAGGGGCTGGAGAGATGGCTCAGCAGTTAAGAGCACTGGCTGCTCTTCCAGAGGACCCAGGTTCAATTCCCAGCACCCACATGGAAGCTCACAACTGTCTGTAACTCCAGTTCCAGGGTACCTGACACCCATGCCAAAATATCAATGCAGATTAAAAAAATAGAAGAAGGAGGAGGAGAGGGAGAGGGAAATGAGAGGGAGAAGAAGGAGAAGGATGAGGAGGAGGTGGAGGAGGAGAAGGAGAAGGAGAAGAAGAAGAAGAAGAAGAAGAAGAAGAAGAAGAAGAAGAAGAAGAAGAAGAAGAAGAAGAAGAAGAGGAAGAGGAAGAGGAAGAGGAAGAGGAAGAGGAAGAAGAAGAAGGCTTCATCAAGAGACAGCTTCATAAGGATGAGCCCTGGTGGGAGGAAAGGGACAGGAGTTGCCATGAGGTCTCTGGGGACTTTGAAGGAGCAGAGCAGAGGAAGGCAGGGCACACAATCCCAGGTGAGACATCAAGAGCAAAGTTTCTGGAGTGTTCCATGAAGCCTCATCCAGAGGGAGAGGAGTGAGAACCAGAATGTGGAATGCTGGAAGAGGAAGGAGAAGGCTGGGAAGTCAAGGATGTGTCACAATTCAGTTCCTGACCTCCTGTTCAGAATCACTTCCAAGCTTGCTAACCCTGGATCTCTGGTCTCAGATCCTTTGAATCAGAGCTTCTGACAATAAGGGCCAGGAATTTGAGACAAGAGTCCACTGTGTTGTTCAGGTTGACTCTGAACCTTACGTTGACTCAAGGGATCCTCCTGCTTCAGCCTCTGAGCAGATGAACTATGGGTGCAAACCACTACACCCACGATGCTAAGTTACTGGCCAAAGTGATTTCTAAGTAAACCCCACTTCCTGTACTGGGAGATTCCTGTCTCTATACCTTGGGAATGGTACAGTTAGTGTCTTGAGGCTGTGTGGCCTCTCTCTGAGGCAGGGACACTCAGTGTGCTCAGTGCTCCTCTTGACCTAGTGGACTCCTGTCTTCCTCCCTCCGTCCCTCCCTCCCTCCCTCCCTCCCTCCCTCCCTTCCTTTTGTGTTTGTGGTGTATGCTTGTGTGTAGATGCATGTGCAGGTGCATATATACACAAGCATACACACGCAGAGGCCACAGAAGGACATCAGGTGTCTTCCTCTGATACTCTCCATCTTATTCCCTTAACACGGGGTCTCTCACTGAACCTCACTACTTTGATAGCCTGCCTCTCTCAGCCCCTCATTGCTGGGATTAAAACCATGCATGGTCATGTCTGGGTTTTGTGTGGGTGCCTAGGATTTGAACTTGGTTTGTTTTTTAATTATTTATTTTTATGTATATTGGTGTCTTGCCTGCAGGTGTGTCTGTATGAGCACATCAGATCCCTTGGAAAAGGAGTTAAATTTGGGATTTTATGCTTGTACAGTACACATTTCTTACCGCCTGAGCCACCTCCCCAACTCCAGTTACTGGCCTCAAACTCAGAGATCCTCTTGCCTCTGCCTCCTGAGTGCTGGGATTTAAGACGTATACCACCGCCACCCAGCTTGTTTTATGTCTTATTATTGCCGGAAGTGTGGCTGCACCACAGTTTATTCATCAGCTGAGGGTGTTTGAATTACTTCCACTTTTCAACTATTGCAAATGAGGTTGTGAATATCCAAGCCAAAGTTTTGGTGTGGACATAGGTTTCGCGTCTTGGGAGTGGACTCACCAGTCAGATCGCAGCTGTGTTTGGCCTCCCGCAGAATGGCCACACTGTTTTCCAGAGTGGCCACACCGGTTTCCCTTCCCAGTGGCAGTGCATACGGGTTCCAGTCCGTCCACATCCTGTGGCTCCTGTTATTGTCTGTCTTTTTTTATTGGCGCCATTCTAGTGGGTGTGACGTGGTGTTTCCTTGCAATGGCAAAAGCTTTGTAAAGGGGCCAGAGAGTGAATGTTTCTGAGTCACTCCATCTCTGCCACTGAGGCATGAACACAGCCTGGATGGCATGTAAATAAACTTTCTCCGTTGTTTACTAACAGGCGGCAGGCAGCTCAAGGGCCAGAGTTTGCAGATTCTGTTGAAAAAGAGTGGCTGCCCCATTCGCCCAGCCTGCCTCTGCGCCTTCTTCAGCATTGTTATAATCAGCTTTAAAAATTGTCATTATTATTGTATGTATGTGCATGGTGTGTGTGTGTGTACCTGTGTGTGTATGTGCATGCTGTGTGTGCTATATATAGTGTGCATATGAAGCCAGTGGACATTTTTGTAGAGTTGGTTTCATTTTTCCACCTTTATGTGGATCTCAGGAATTGAACTCAGGTCCCCAAGATTTCTGCCTATACCAGGCTAGCTTTTCTCTTCCACCTTCTATTATTGATTTTTTAAAAAAAGTTTTATTTTATTGTATGTGTATGAGTGTTTGCCTGCATGTATGTATGTGTACCCTGTGTGTGCAGTACCTGTGGAGCCCCCAGAACTGTGAGCTACCATGTCGACGCTGGGAACAGAACCCAGTTTTCTGGAAGAGCATCAAGTATTCTTAACCTTGGAGCCAGTTCCTCAGGCACCATTATTAGAAAGAAAGTCTCCTCCCTACATACCTCAGGCTGGACTTGAACTTATGATCCTCCTGCCTCAGTCTTCCCAGAGCTGGGATTACAAGCCTGGACTGCTACACCCAGATCCTGGCACTATGTTTTATTAAGCTTCTTTCCAATGACTTCACTCTAGCAAGCAGTCCTTGCTTATCCCCTGTCCCTCCTCTGAAGTGTCACTTTGATCACCAGCATGCCACAAGGCCTGGTGTAGGGTAGGTGTTCAATAAAACCCGTTTGAATGAGTGAGTGACTGATGGAGAAATGGAATTCTGTTTCCAAATGCCCTTTGCTCAGTGTCTTGTCATTAAATTTTTGAGAGTTGGCAACTGTTCCCTGATTAGGAACCTCCCCCTAGTGGTGGCTTGCAGAACTGCATCAGTGGGAGGCCATAGCTGGAAAGAAATGACTGGTAAGGATGTCAGACTTACCAAGGGGGCTCCAAGGGATCAAGGGGTGACTTAGCTTGTCTTAGTCCAGCTGCACCCCCCCATCTCCCCACCCCCACCCCATCCTCCAGTCAGCCCCATCCCTGCAGCAGCCACGCACTGTGAAAGTTAAAGGGTCAGCCAACCTAGGAGAGGTGCGTTGGTCTTATTTATTTATTTGTTATTTATATTTTATGTATATTAGTGTCTTGCCTGTATGTATGTCTGTGTGAGAGTGTTGGACCCCCTGGAACAGGAGTTACAGTTGTGAGCTGCCATGTGGGTGCTGGGAATTGAACCTGGGTCCTCTGGAAGAGCAGCCAGAGCTCTTGCCTGATGAACCCTCTCCCAGCCTTTTGTGTTTTAAGCACAGTCTCCTCTGTCCCAGGCTGACTGGCCCTTGTTATTATCTGCAAGCTGCCCATGTTCCTCTCACAGCTGTACTCATTAGGCCACATGAAGGACACCCTGAAAACAAATCTTTTTTTTTTTTTTTTTTTTTTTTTTTTGGTTTTTTCGAGACAGGGTTTCCCTGTGGCTTTGGAGGCTGTCCTGGAACTCGCTCGGTAGACCAGGCTGGTCTCGAACTCACAGTGATCCGCCTGCCTCTGCCTCCCGAGTGCTGGGATTAAAGGCGTGCGCCACCAACGCCCGGCGA